CTCTGGAAAATGCCATCGATGAGTCTGTTACAACACAGGAGCAGGAGATGGTGCGACAGCTTCTTTTTCTGGGATGAGGAGAGAGGGAAGGAGCAGCTTGTGGATGATGTAAAAAAAATCTATGGAATAGTACGTGGCAATATAAGTTTAATATAATAAAGCAGAAATAAAATTCTAACATGCTAGAGGCAGTGTTGTTGTAGAGTGAGAAATGTCCTATGTAGCTGAAAAAGGAAATCCTGACAGACCATAACATTTGCACAGCCTGTGTCAACGTGACTATAGACAATGTTGTCCTTCCTGCATTAAATTTACTACACCTGGGGAGAAGAGGGGAAAAAAAAAAAGCAGCTCTGAGTTCTGGTTATCAACAACTCTTGCACTTTGTAAGAGTAATTCAATGTGCTGAAAGGATGGGCATGCTGAGATGATTGCCTAAGTTTTTGGAGACCATTGGTAAATGTGTATTCAGCCTCAACAGACATAGGCATAGCAGATGCACAGATGACAGAATGGTTTGGGTTTGAAGACATCTTAAAGCTCATTTAGTTAAAGCCCCTGTGCCATGGGCAGGGGCACCTCCCACCAGACCAGGTTGCTCAAAGCCCCGTCCAGTCTGGCCCTGAACACTGCCAGGGAGGGGCTGCCACAAGCTCTCTGGACAGCCTGTTCCAGTGCCTCTCCACCCTCACAGAAAAGAATTTCTTCCTAATATCAAATCTACACCTACCCTCTTTCATTTTAAACAGTTAACCCTTGTCCTATCACTACACTCCTGATCAAGAGTACGTCCACTTCCTTTCCTGTAGCCCCCTTTAAGCACTGGAAGTCCACTATAGGGTGTCCCTGAAACCTCATCCAGGATGAACAGTACAAGATCCTAAACTCTCTTTTACTGTGAAAACAACAACTACAGACAAGATTTTGTATTTACTTCTGTACTTTCTATTTGCTCCATCACTCCTACATTCTCTGACTCAGATACTGGTTTTCACGTCTTTGCAGAGAGGACCACAAAATTATGAACCACTTAATGAAGAAATCCTTGGGTAATATTACAATAAACTACAACATAAGTTTTAATGCAACTACATGTGTTATGGA